CACAGAATTATTGGTTGACGTTTCGACAAGATCAACTCTGGTCCAACTAACCAATACTGGCCTATGCCGAGGTTCATCGGAGATCAAACGTTCCATAAACATAAAAGTTTTGAAGGAAAAATCTGCTTAAAAGATTAGATTATGTTTGTTCTAGCTGCATCAATGACCAAGCAGCTTTGTTCCTTTTCACGGGCCTTTGGGCCAACAAGGCCAAAGCGCAGATGTGTCAAACACGCTGCCGGACCAGCAAGAGCACGGAAACGTTTAAATTGGCGCCTGAAAGAGTTGTGCTGCTTCTGAAGACAGTACCACTAAAAAAAGCATGGCGGTTATCACGGAGACCTTGCAGAGGTAGCTACCGCACGTTTTATGAAGCATCTTTGAAGTTAGCCGATGTCCACATTGGTGCTGAAACACTTTCAGGAGATAATTTTGGCCGTTTTCCGAAAAATTGTTTTTTTATCGTACCCTATGCATAGGCTAGTGAGCAGCTGTGGGAAGAGAAATCAGGAGATACTGGTCACAGAATCTTATAAAGGCATGCATTAGTTCTAACTTTGCTGTTTATTAGAAACACTGATTTTTTAAAAGTGTCATATATTAGCTTGTAACATAATTTTTCCCCATTAGAGAAAGAAAGTTCGTTAGAGAAAGTTTATTCTGTCTAAATGAACAAAGCAATTCCATCCGTATTTTAAATATAAAGTCTGCCTGGACCGTGCTACTGTTTAGCAAAGTAGTTTCTTAGATTTCTGCACGATGCTCAAGTGTATATTTATGCAAATCATTCATGGTTGAGTTTGGTTTTGGGTTTTTGCTATCCTCTGTAAAGGCTCTATCCAGTAGGGTGTATGGGCATTGTTAGCTTACGTCATGTACTTCCATACTGCATAGGGATACCCTAGAGAGACTGCGAGACTCGGCGAGTGAAAGAAAAATTCATACAGAAATGGAGGCGATTTTCAACTCATTTGAAGGGAGCATACACATCCGTTGTTTTTTTTTNGGATTTTCTTTATTATCTTTAAACCTGTTCACTATGTTGAATGTTGTTAGAAATACCTATACCAACCAGGAGCCGAGACAATTCCTCAGAAAATGTCATTTACCCGTTAATGTTTACCATTGCGATCGCTACCGCGGTTACCAGCAAAAACCTATGTGTTAACTGCCGGTTACCTATAGGTTAGATTCTAGTTATCCAAGTTAGATTCATGTTATCCAAGTTAGAGTAGTAGTGAAATAACCTCGATTTAAGCATTTATGAGCTGGCTATGGAATCTGTAACTGACGGTTATATTTGTCGGTTAACCACCAGTTATAACCAAATTGCTACCACCCCAGGTTGTTACGGTGGATCTTTTTTTTAACCGACGTTTCGAACAGGTTGTTTCCTTCAAAGGTAGAAAACGAATTCCGGCTTTATCTACGTACTATATATACTCTGTTGTGGTAGATACTTTTGACAAGTGACTATCTGGGAAATGACCTAGTGAGATTTCAGCAGTTTCCGAAGCAAATCTTGTTTAGCTTTCCCAGTCACATCCGACAAGGCTAACAGATACTTTTTTT